TAAAATCTTGGTGTCTTTAATATTTGTTCTTGCATTTCATTTGATAAATTTCCTGTGGGTTAGCTTGAGTTGGTTCCAACGGGTTTGGTGCTATCTTAGCACAACAATTGGTATCAGAGCACTGGTTGCTCTTGGGTACTGTCTAGTTGCCAAAGATGTCAGACGGGCAAGATGAAAATCCTTTTGGAAGCAGCTCCGGGTTTGCAAGAACTACGGTGCAAAATGCAAAGTTCGAAGTGGAAAAGTTTGATGGCACAAACAACTTCGGGATGTGGCAATGTGAGGTCAAAGATGTGTTGGCTCAACAAGATCTACTTGCCGCGTTGGAGAGAAGCCGGAAACTATGTCAAAGCCGGAATGGGAAAAATTAAATTTGTGGGCTTGCTCTTCAATTCGGTTGTGCCTTGCAAAAACTCAGAAGTATTTTGTGATGCAGGAGACATTAGCAAGTGTGTTGTGGCAAAAATTGGAAGACAAGTATATGACAAAGAGTGCAGAGAACCGGCTACACTTGAAGAAAAAGCTCTACCGCTTCCAATACAAAGAAGGTACAAAAATGATTAGACACCTTGATGCTTTTAATAAGTTGATTGCCGACTTGTTAAATTTAGATGAGGATATTAAGGATGAAGATAAGGCCTTAATATTGTTGAATTCATTGCCGGGACTCTTATGAGCATTTTGTTACCACTATTATGCATGGTAAAGAAACTGTGAAATTTGAAGATGTGTCAAATGCCTTGATGAATTATGAAATGAGGCATAGAGATAAAAATCATGATAGTATCTCTGAAGCTTTATTTGTTAGAGGTAGATCATCGGAAAGGAGGTCCTCTACTAGTAGGAAAAAATCACAGTCTCGACCTAGAGGAAACTCTAAAGGTAGAAAACCTTTAGAAAGGGATGAATGTGCCTTTTGTCATAATAAGGGCCATTGGAAGAAAGATTGTCCTAAGTTGAAGACCAAAGGAAAAGAAAGTTCTGAAACTAATGTTGCTGAGGTTGAAACAGATTTTTCTGATTTTGCTTTAACCACCTCCTCATCATTTGATTGTGCTACTAAGTGGGTGTTGGATACGGGTTGTACTCATCATATGACTCCTCACAAGGATTGGTTTTCAAGCTTGAAAGAGTTTGATGGTGGCGTTGTGTTCATGGGAGATGACAATCCTTGCACAACAAAAGGGATTGGTACAGTTCGGTTGAAGTTGCATGATGGCATGGTTAAAGAGTTGACAGGTGTTCGGTATGTACCGAATTTGAAGAAAAATCTTATTTCTTTGGGTACTTTGGAATCCAAGGGTTTCAGGTTTCATTCAGATGGGCAGACATTAAAAGTTACTTATGGTGCACTTGTTGTGATGAAAGCTCCTAGATGTGGCCATTTGTATTTATTGCAGGGAAGCACTGTGACAGGTGAAGCATCTGTAGTTTCTGAAAATATGGGCACATTTGATTCAGATACTACTAGACTGTGGCATATGAGATTAGGCCATGCCGGTGAGAAAGCTCTACAAGGGCTTGTGAAAAAAGGTATTCTAAAAGGTGCCACGACTTGTAAGCTTGATTTCTGCGAGCATTGTGTCTTGGGGAAGCAAACTAGAGTGAAGTTTGGTACTGCTGTACATCAGACGAAGGGCATTCTTGATTATGTGCATTCAGATGTTTGGGGTCCTATAAAGACTCCCTCTTTGAGTGGTAGACATTGGTTCGTGACCTTTGTTGATGATTATTCAAGAAGGTCTTGGGTCTACACTATGAAGCACAAGAGTGAGGTGTTAAGCATTTTCTTGGGTTGGAAGAAAATGGTTGAGAACCAGACTGGGAGAAAGATTAAGATTTTGAGATCGGATAATGGTGGTGAATACACATCCGATCCTTTCTCTAAAGTTTGCAAAGAGGAAGGAATTGTAAGACATTTCAGTGTTCGGGGAACTCCACAACAAAATGGAGTTGCAGAAAGATTGAATCGAACCTTGCTTGAGAAGGTTAGATGTATGTTGTCTCAGTCGAGTTTAAGCAAGTCATTTTGGGCAGAGGCAGTTAATTATGCATGTCACATCATCAACCGATTACCCTCAGCTGCTGTTCAGGGTAAGACACCAATGGAGGTATGGACTGGAAAACCTTCTTCTGATTATGACTATATCCGTATTTTGGTTCACCTGCTTATTTTCATGTGACTGAAAAATAAACTTGATCCTAGAGCCAAAAAGGCTATCTTTCTTGATTTTAGTAGTGGTGTTAAAGGTTACAGGTTGTGGTGCCCAGAGATGAAAAAACTTGTAATCAGTAGAGATGTGACATTTGATGAAGAAAGTATGTACAAAGGCTCTGAGAAGAATGTGAAAGATGTCCAACAGGTGGAGCTTGAGAAAGTTGCCTCTGATATTTCAAATCCTATTTCCGCTGATGTCGAAGCCACTACAAGTGAAGAAGTTGGAGACCATGAGGATGTTGAAGAAGTTGAACTTGAAGATTCTATTCAAGTTGAAGAGCAAGTTTCATCTCAAGAGTCTATTGCCAAGAATAGAGGAAAGAGACAAATTACCAAGCCAGCTCGGTATAGTGACTATGTTTCTTTTGCTCTTCCTATTATCACTGATGAGATTCCATCTAATTTTGAGGAAGCTATTGAGAGTGAGGAGAAGAAAAGGTGGTGCAATGCCATGGGTGATGAGATGAATTCTCTCTTGAATAACAAGACTTGGGAATTAGCTAAATTGCCTAAGGGCAAGAAAGTTATCGGTTGCAAATGGGTGTATGCCAAGAAGGAAGATGCTGATGAGAAAAGCAATGTGAGATTTAAAGCAAGATTAGTTGCTAAAGGGTATGCACAAAAGGAGGGCATTGACTACAATGAAATATTTTCTCCGGTTGTGAAACACTCCTCAATTCGCATTATGTTAGCTCTTGTTGCACAGTATGATCTTGAGCTTTGCAACTTGCTGAAACGGCTTTCCTGACTTGATGTGAAGACGGCTTTCCTACATGGTGATTTGAATGAAGAGATCTATATGTGTCAACCGAATGGGTATATAGTGAAAGGGAAGGAAAATTTGTTTTGCAAATTGAAGAAATCGCTTTATGGCTTGAAGCAATCTCCAAGGCAATGGTATTTGAGGTTTGATAAATTTATGAGAGGCCAAAATTATTCTAGAAGTCAATATGATCATTGTGTGTACTTCAAGAAGTTGCAAGATGGGTCTTTCATTTATTTATTGATATATGTTGATGATATGTTGATTGCCTCAAAGAATGTTGAAGAGATTGAGAAATTGAAGAAACAAATGAAGAACGAGTTCGAGATGAAGGATCTTGGTGAAGCGAAGAAGATCCTTGGCATGGAGATCACTAGAGATAGAGAGAAAGGTTTGGTCAGTTTGAATCAAAGACAATACCTTGAGAAGTTGATTCGGAAGTTTGGAGTTCATGATTCAACCAAACCGGTTAGTACCCCTTTGGCTCCTCATTTTAAATTGAGTTCTCTACAATGTCCTAAAACTGATAAAGAGAAGCTGCAAATGAAAAATATACCATATGCTAATTTGGTTGGTAGTTTGATGTATGCAATGGTATGCTCTAGACCGGATATTGCTCATGCAGTTGGCATGGTGAGTCGATATATGCATAATCCAGGTAAAGAGCATTGGCAAGCAGCTAAGTGGATATTGAGGTATCTCCATGGTACTCGAGATGTTGGTTTTTATGCTTTGAGAGAGATGACTCTGGTATTGGTCATTTTGCAGTTGGTTATGTTGATTCAGATTATGCAGGTGATCTGGATGGAAGGAAGTCTACTACAGGCTATGTGTTTACTATGGCTAAAGGGCCAGTTTTGTTGGAGGTCCATTTTGCAGTCGTCTGTTGCCTTGTCTACTACAGAGGCTGAATATATGGCAGTTGCTGAAGCTATAAAGGAGGCCATTTGGATACATGGGCTTATTAGAGATTTGGGGGTTGATCAGAAGCAGGTGGAGGTACATTGTGATAGTCAGAGTGCCATTTATTTGGCTAAGTATCAGGTTCATCATGCGAGGACCAAGCACATAGATGTGCGTTATCACTTTGTTCGTGAAATTGTTGGTGAAGGGGAAATCATTCTCCAGAAGATTCCAACGAAAGACAACCCCGCTGATATGTTGACTAAGGTTGTTGGTGTAGCCAAGTTTGTTCACTGTTTGAACTTGGCTCACATTATGCCTATATAAAGAAGGCGTTGAGCAGTAGGAGTTTTGGAGCATTTGGCTCGGCATGAGTTGTTCTCTTGCTAGTGTTTGGGAGTGATGTTGTGTGCTAATTGTGTTGGTTGGCTTATCATGGCGTTTTCGGAACTTGGCCAAGGTGGAGATTGTTGGATTATGTGGCCAAGTGGCCATATACTTTAGAATAAACAAACCAAAAGGGACAACATTATGATGTTTCTTCCTTGTTTTGGGGAAAAGAAAAGCACTTTGTCTAAAGTTTTCTTGGTCCATGGGAAGTCACGGGGTGACTTGAATGAATGACTATGTTATGATAAGGAAGTTGCTGCCCTTTAGTTTTTTAAGTGAGCAGAAAATTGGTGAGCCGAAGAGAAGAGAGGGAGAGAAAGAAGGTACTGCTGCAGTACCATTTTGAGAGAAGGAGTTGTTGTTCCTTTCATTGGATAGTTCTCACTCCATCAAAGTGTTATTGTTGTAATAGCTTTGAGCTTTGTATAGAGAAGAAATTAATCACGATATTTCTTTCTCTATTTGTTTCTTTAGAGTGTGAGAGCTATTGGGTGTATTGGGCTTTTGGGTTGTGAGATTGTCAACTCCCATTTGGTTGATAGTGGATTATTGGGTGAGCTCCTACTGCTCCGAGGACGTACTCCAGTTACACTGACTGTTGAGGAACCTCGTTAAAATCTTGGTGTCTTTAATATTTTGTTCTTGCATTTCATTTGATAAATTTCCTGTGGGTTAGCTTGAGTTGGTTCCAACGGGTTTGGTGCTATCTTAGCACAACAGACCTTATTTACATTGTCATGTATTAAACCATCTGATTCATTAGATCATCAGATGGTAAATCCCACAAGAGACCATCCGAGGTGAATATGTTGGATGATCCGTTTCTAAGCTCCTTTCCACCCGCGGACTCCTCTCCATTTTCTTCCACCTCAAGTTTGTCATCCAACTGGCCCTGCTGGTCCGCCGCTGCCGTGCACGTACTTCCAGCACACAGACTCTGGCTCCACGGCGATCCAATATCGCCTTCGTTCCCAAACGTAGAATGGCCGTACTGAAATCCAGACATGGGCAAGGGGAAAGCACTGCAGTTCCCTGTGAAGTTCCCAGGTGATGCTCCAGTAGTGTCCATCCAAGGTTTGTTTGAGGTCAACATGTCTGGTTGTTCTTGCATTGCCCTAGATAAACCAATCTTGATCTTTTCGATAGTGTCGTCTTTTTCTTCCTGCTTGCTGTTACTGTACGTGGCGGTGCTGTTTCCCGGCGTTGGATTGATGTGTTGGAGCTGGAAGTCGATGCGCTTCTTTGTAAGGAGGTGGAGCATTTTGTCCTTAAAGAAGCCGAGTGCTGCTTCTGCAAGGTGAGCCGCCTGTGGCGGCTCTAGTGTGGTTGCAATCTCGGCCATGAGGTGGGAAAAGGGTTTGTGTGTGACGGGGTCGATCCCCATGCCTGATAGCTTCTTCTTCAGCTTGGTGTTCCAGTGATTTTTCACATCGTTGTCGGTGCGGCCAGGTAGTCGCGCTGCAATCAACGACCATCTGTGACACATTCACAGGAAATGATTAGTGAGCTGAGTACTTGAAATATGTAGAGGATGCAAGGGAGCTAACATTCACTTCTTTAATTATAGTAAAAAGTGAAAAGGATAAATGAGGAAGAATGGGCAGGATAACTTGGAGTGCTAATAACTATTTCTTTTTGGATCATATAACAGAAAAAGATTCAAGATTACCGGTTGCCAACAATGGAGTGCAGCTTAACAATTATTTGCTCTTCCGCGTCGGAGAATTGTCCGTGCTTAAGGTCGGGGCGAAGGTAGTTTGTCCAACGTAGCCTGCAGCTTTTCCCAGATCTTTGTAAACCTTGTAAACCAAATGAAGAACGTTTCAGGAAGAGAGAGAGAGAGAGAGAGAGTTTTTGCAGTTGTAAATAGTAATTACCAGCACTTTTGGGGATGAGGCGCCAGTTACGAGTGCCATGTTGGGCAATGTAGGAGGAGAGCTTGTTATCTTCTTCAGGAGTCCACTGCCCCCTTTTCACAGTGTCCTTCTCACAGCATGGAATCCGACCCATCTCGCTCTTTCTTTCTCTATCTATTTTTCTAAGAACTCTCACTCCTTAACTTAAAAAATGCCAATAATAATCTTCTTCGTGCCGTCGAGGGTTTCTTAAACGAAAATGCCAACAACTTTTGGAAAAGAAAAAAAAGACAGGGGTAGGGCTTGAGAGTTGAGAAAGTAGTGGAAGTAAACTACTAAGCTAAAAGAGCTAAAACATTTTTCTGCTTTGATTTTGGTTTGCTAAAAGCAAAGAAACGAAAACATTTTCTTGGGGAATTTTTTTTTTTAATTCCTAAATTTCTCTTACAGGTTTACCTGTTTTCTAATATTCTTTATATATATGATATAATGAATGAAGAGGTTCAAGTGCATTAGCCATGACCTAATAGGGTTACTGGAAAAATCCCATCAAAGGCGCATGATTTCATTAAAAAAGTTCAACGCCATTGAGCGTGTGAGACTTTGGCCGGTAGCTCACCCACATGACACCCGGTCAACCCTCTCTCTCTCTCTCTCTCTCTCTCTCTCTCTCTCTCTCTCTCTTTCTCTCTCTCTCTCGGTTGACTGCACGCATTCATGCATGATGCTTCATCCATGCATGGTTTTTTGGGTGGCTTTCTGCCCTCCTCACACAAAACCTAGTTAAGGTTGTTGCACGTGATGGTCACGTGTGCATTTCCCTACTAGTTTCTTCCAAGCTGTGTGTTCATGTTGTCTGCAACCGTGTGGCCTTGTCTGCAGGAGTTGTCCAATAATGTTACTGTTGCTAAATCATGCAATATATGGTTATGGATGACTTCATGTAATTGTAAATTGATTAAAAACCCACATAATTAATTGTTTGTTAGTTTTGATGAATATATGTATGTATGTATGTATATATGAGGGAAAATCGATTAAGATGGTTTGAATATGTGAATCGAAAACCTATAGATGCTTCGGTTAAAAGATGCGACTATGAGGCAGAGACTCAGGGCAAAATGGATAGAGGAAAACCTAGGAAGACTTTGAAAGAAAGTATAAAAAAAAAATATGGAGTACTTGAAGTTAACAGAACACTAGGCGCAAAACCAAGTGCAATAGTGTTCTAGGACTCATACAACCAATCTCATTAAGTGGAGTACATAAAGCTTGGTTGTTGTTGTTGTTGTATAAGCCTCATATTTACCATTTGTTAGTACTGTAAAATGCTCTCAAATATTGAAATGGTAACAACATTACCGATTTAATGCAGTAGATCTACAATATTGACAACATATATATTGATACTTTCTCTATATATTATGACTACCGGGAAATCTTTGTTACCTATGTAACGGGACAACATCGAAGACACATTAAGATGATATAGATATGATATGTTTATTTTCTACACTAACAGTGTTTTTGAGATCTATTACGTACTACAATAATATTGGTATTTTAGAGCATTCCCCTATATATAATATTCTTGTCCAAAATCCCAAAAGCTCTGAAAAAACAAAATTATACCACAAATTGGGCGCAAGTTTGTTTTAATTATTTACTTTTTTTGGTTTATCTTGTTTTTACCCTATTTATAGAAGAGAAAATATATATGTCAAACTGATCAGTTGGGGTAAGAAAGAAGGAACAATTAGGTTAATTTGCAGTGTTTAGCTATTATTTAAGACGGAGGAGCTAGAGGTTTTGGTTTGTACCTATGAGGATATATATTTGCATTAGACAAGCACTTCATAACATTTTGAATAGTTATGAGGCTGATGATTTATAAATGGTGAAATCTGCAAGATATGAAATGCTTTTACAATCTTTCTTCTATCTTCACAGGATTCAGTTTCGATAAGCTAACTGGTTGAAGTTGCTAACCTTTGCAATGTGCGTCATCTAGTTTAAGGTTGTTAGCTAGAACTACTATATAATTAAGGCAACCTTTGCAATGTGCGTCATCTAGTTTGAGGTTGTTAGGTAGAACTACTATATAATTAAAGCAGTGATGTTCTAGGATTTATATAACCGATCTCATTTAGTGAGACAAGTTTTCATTATTGTGGTTGTATATTTGCTCAGTGCAATCTCATTATTTTTGTAGCTTACAATGGAAACAATTAAATTATGTAAATGAGGATGAATATATACATATATATATATATATGTGTATATTGTTGTAAACGGAAATAGAAAGGAACGAAGTTACCCGAAAATTGTAGAAACCTTGAGTGGTGAATGATTCTTGGGATGAGTCGCGGACTAAGTCGCTCTCTTTAAGACGTTTCACGGCTTTGCCCAAAGTGTGCAAGCAATTCACAAACACCACGTCGTCCCCAGGATAAAATAGCCCAAAACCTTCTTCTGATAAGATTCTTCCTTGGACACCGGAAGAACCTTCGAACTCACATCCTTTCAATATATTGCTTTTAAATCATATATGTAAAACTTTTTTTTCTTGTTTTTTCTAATCCAACTGACCCAAAATTACAAATATATATATATGTTGGTGTGTATCCTGGTATCCGTTAAGATGGCGACTTTTATAATACTGGTAATAAAATAAAATATAAATATATTTAAATATTTAAATAAAAACGTAACTGCTCCAACAATCCCCCATTTGTTTTTATTTAAAAAACTATATATCAAGCAACATATCATAAAGCTATGCATAAGTAAAGGTGTTTCTCAACTTGAACTTGTACATAGTGTTAGTGATCCAGATTATACTAGAGTAACTTATAGTTTTGAACTCTATCTCTGACAACACCACACATAACCTTATTAAAGTGAAGTTCAAAAAGCCAGCACATTACGGCCATGTGCTTGTATCCCAGTATAGTGAACGCTCTAGAAACTTGCCCAAGATTTCATAGGAAGCGGCCTCACTTCCACATTCACATAGGTAAGACTATCAAGGATATTCTTGTAGTTAGATATCCCACTCAACATAGAGTATAGACCTTACTAAGAGAAAAATTCTCAACCTAAAAACGCTTCAGGATGCCATGCTTCTTAGGGATGGACATGAAATAATATTCCAAATTAAAATTAGCATGACTTCACTCATATCACTTGTGACTTGTTATTTCCTTTTGAACCTATTTCTTGGGATCTCCAGTCTATAGGTTGGGTTGCTATCACAAATGACTCAATTTTCTACGGGCTTTAGTCCCCATCCCTTTCGAGGTTTTCCAAACCTTTTCTCATGTTAGTCTTTTCGTCAAAGGATTTTTCCAAACTTTTTCTCATGTTAGGCCTTTCATCAAAGGATCAACTATATTTTCTTCAGACCATATATGACTGAAATCAGTTTCTCCCATAAAGGGGTATCTGACAGTAGGTTTCTCAACCATCCCGCTTCTTCTCTCATAAAGGGGTATCTGATAGTAGGTTCATAAATTTTAGAAGAATTAGAACCCCCACTATTTCGAAGATTAAAAGGAAATTTATTCTCATAATAATCAACATCAAGATTTTTACACACAAAAAATTTGATCAATACAGTTCACATACTAAAAATCATAGATTTGATTTTATATACATGCATAAAGAATTAAATCACCGCATATCATTTAGGTAGTTTCTGTAACTTATGTCGTACCTATTTACAAAAAATTACGAACCACTGGCCTATATACATGCAAAATATATTAGGGGTATTGTTTCATTTACATTGATAAAGATGACAAAAGTTCTTCAACATCACCTTATGATTAAAATCAGAACCAACCAGAAATCAGAGTTGGAACTAAGAGAATACCATTTCAAAATAAAAAGAAGGAATAAAAACTTGTACCAAACAAAAAATAAATAAAGAGGAAAGAGGATAGAAAATAAAACTCTGATGTTTATAACTTATTTCTTAACCATCCAAAAACCATAGTTGACCTAAGCAGCACATCAAGTGATTCAATTATGACATTTTATCTATATTCAATTTAAACATTCCATCAGCAGCATATCCCTTTCCCATAAAAACCCCATTTTTAGTAAGAGTATACGTATATGCTCCAATGGTTTGAGTAAATCCAGCATTGTTAAGAAGAAAGCGCAAGACCAAATTCTTCCTTATCGCTGGAGTGTGCATCACATCTTTTAGTATCATGGTTTTTCCAGAGGTGAACCTCAGTTCCACCTCTCCAGCAACATCAGTTGAGTGTGAATCACCCAACAACACCTTCATTCCCTCAACACATAATAGGTCTTGAAAAGGGAACGATTGTAGCAAACATGGCGAGAAGCACCAGTGTCCACCCACCACCCCTCGGATCCATCAACTAAGTTGATTTCTGATATCATTGCAATCAGTTGCTCTTCAACAAGATTTGCCGGTGGAGCAGGGCTTTTCTTATTTCTGCAATTTCGGGCAAGATGGCCCAGCTTGTGACAGTTATAGCATTCAAACTGTCTCGAATCAAAAGCAGCACATAAGGGGGGTTGGTACCTATTCTGAGGATGAGAGGGATTTCGATTCTGAACTTTGTTTGTGTTGTTGTTGAGGCGCTTGTTGTGATTATTGCCTGAATCTTCATGTTCTTCCCATTTGGCTTCAGCACAGCTAGAGTCTGGTTCCGGTTGAAGTTGGTAGCTTTCTGGTTGCTTGACACGACCATAATTTCCTCCTTCAATTCTTGTTTCCTGGCCTCTTCCTCAATGCGAAGTCGAGTGATCAAGCTTTCCAGGGATAACTTTTTTGTCTTGTGGCGAAGTAAGTTCTTGAAAATTTTCCAGGTTGGTGGCAATTTATCAATGATGACAGCAACCTGAAATTGATCATCTAAAACCATGCCTTCAGAAATAATTTCATGAGCAATTTTCTATAATTTATGAGATTGTGCTTCAACAAATTCGTCATCAACCATCTGATATTTCAACTATTGACTAACAGCAAATTTCTTAGCCCTAGCTTCCTCAGTGTCATATTTTTTCTAAAGTGCCTCCCATAAATCTTTCGCAGTGCCATAATCAGAGTAGTAATCATAAAGGTCATCAGACAATCCATTAAGAATATAATTCTTAGCAAGAAAATCATTTTCAATCCAAGTTTGTGAAGCTTTGGTCTGTGCAATAGTGGGCTCTTCAGGGAGAGTTGGTTTGACAGTGGTGCAAAATGAAGCCAATTTTTTTGTGGTGAGAAAAAATAACATCTTCTGCCTCCAACGCTTA